ACAGGCTCCTAACCTATTTGGACTCGCGCCTGAGGAACGACGATTTTGAGGAGCTCGAGCTTCGTCCTCTCTCTCTGGCGAGATTTGACCAGCCGCTAGGAGACGTTCGTACTGGATCAGTGGCAAACCCTAAAATTACAGAAGTTGTGGAAAAAAGGAGCACATGCGTGCTTCAGAGTCTACCTTCTTCAATTTGTGGATGAACTGGCAGCGAGGACCATATGGACAATGTCCGAATGTGGAAAACTTGTCACATAATTGGGTTTTGTACTTTGGGTGAGCCTTACCACGTGGCTGAAAATTCCCTTCGCCATATATAAAAATGGAAAATGAGATTAACAATAACTTTACATGAACAGATTATTGAAATAATATAGTTTGTCTGATCTAATTACTGTCGTATCTTTGAAAAGCTACCTGTGCAGGAAGGCGCAGCTCGCTGTCACCGTGAGCAAAGCGACAGCCTTCCCCGTAGGGACAGAAACCGAATTTTTTGAAAGCATCACATAAGGCCGTCTTGTATGCCTCGTCTTTCCTAAAGAGAATCTTATTGGGACAAGAGCTTAGGATCCTTGAAACTGTACTACTTTGATTGGAGATTGCAGCTCGTAGAATAGTTCTCAAGTGCTCTGTTTTCAATCATTAAGCCAGAAATTTCATCTCTTTAATTATTATTTACTTAAGATGTAAGATGTATTTAATCAGGTAAAATAAAATATGATAATAAACCTTTTCATTCTCTGCACTTCTTCACGTTCTTCATCTGTCATCGTCTCCCAAGTAACGCACTGTCGACGGCCTCTTGCCTAAAACAGTTGAAATTTATTTTGAAGATTTGTTTACTCTTACGCTACATGATCGAAGTGAAAAACATTAGCACTTCCACGTACATCGAATAAATCGCTTCGACGCCTTCTTGAGCCTCCGCTAGCTTCTATTGGCTCATTTATCGATGGAATGATGGCGTCCGGTGTGACAGTGATCAGCCGTGTTTGTCCGTGAAATCCTGGAATTTACTATCTAGGCAAATTGTTGAATGAGTACATCCAATGCTGTGTAGACAGTGTGTATGTAATATCTGCATGCAGCTGTACCAATAAAATGGATAGTAAAAACTCAGAAAATCAAATCCAAATAGCAGCATTTTTCAGGATGTTGGATCACATAAAATTTGGCCTCAATACTCGAAATTCGACTCATTGAAAACTCACTATTGTTCGAATTTCAAAAAAAGTGCTTTGTAAAGTGCTCGCTTGAGAATGCTTTATCACTAATCCTACGGTTAAGCAAAAATTCCCATACCTTTTTGGCGAGTTTCTTGAACTGGACGTGCTGCTGGACGACGAGCTTGCTCATCAATTCCGTAGTAAAATTGTTCATGCGTTGAGCGGGACATCTAAAAAGCACACTGCAATTGATATACCATTTTAACTGGCACTTGAACTTTACTGAATCAACCGGATCATCTAACGTGGTCTGTCCCAAAGGATAGCTCAGTGTGTACTAGTGTCTTAATGAAAGATACAAAGAGGTACTACGAGAAAGCAGCATTTATGGGCGCGAATCTACAGACTGATTGCTTATGGATTTCGAAGATCACAAATGGTTACGATCTTGAATTTTATGCTGAGGAAGAAACTGTTTGTTTTGCTTGCTCAGTATTTTTTTTCGCTGAAATATAGATTGCTCACCTCTGATGAAAGTCATAATTCGTAGGCTTTCCTGGGAAATCTTGCCACCAATTGCGAGGAATTGCAATAAGGAGATCAGCAACAAACCAGAATGTGCGCTGTTCAAAAACCATTATACGTTGATAAATCTGGAATGCTTGTATCAAAAGCTGAATTATTTAGAATCCAATCGAATACGCAACAAGAAAATCAGTATAATGATATATATATATATATATATATATACA